CGGTACTTATCCCCCTCCTCTGCCACCTTACAAATTGTGTACTCAGCGTGTCTGACGTCTCCATCAAAGTCTTCCAAGTCAACTCTCAGTGTGACGTTATCAGCGGCTGTCAAACGATGAAGATTGTCGTTTCCAAGCCAGAACTCGCCGTTCAGATCTCCAAACCCGTTTTTGTAGGATTCCCAACCAAGATAAAAGTCAACAGAGCCGTTCAAACGTCTCTGAAAAACTGTCCAACCTCCACCGTCCGTGGTCATGTCACACAACACTTGTATTGGTTTGCCGCCATCTGGATTGATGGTGTACACGCCACTGAAAGTAAAACCATTTTCAAGAAGCTCGGTACAGCTTATGTTACGTTTTTGCTCTATGGGAAAAGTAGAAGAGATAATTACTGAGCTGGCCTAAGTGGTTTGTTCCAGGTCCGTTGGGCGTGGAACAATCTGTTTTATAAAGTACAAATAGATGTTTGGTGTTCTCACCTTTACACGTAAACCCATCTCCTGTAAATCCATTCTTGCACGAACAGTTGTACGATCCTTCCGTGTTGTTGCATGTGGCGTTCACGTGACAGTCATTAATTCCCTGTGTGCATTCGTCCACATCTGTGAAAGGTTTCAATTTTGTTCTTAGTTTTATAGGCCTAAGTACACATTTGTATAATTAAGACGACCTAATCGGTGTTCTATTTTCATGTCATGTTGGTAATTAATCATATTGGTAGTCAACCCAACCAGCTTCCTGAGGCTTTGGATGCTTGCATTTCTTAAGCCACCATAACTATAGGTGGTCCAACCGTGCAACAAACTGTTTGTTGATCAAATAGGGGTAAAATGCTTCTGTCCCAAACACCATCGCAGACATCTCAATCTTGGTTGACGTTCGCTTCCTCTGTGATTTTGTCAGGCCTTACCGACATATGCAATTGGGTGCTCCTCGCCATCTTGCACTTGGAACAGCACAGCGGCGACATCGGTTGTACTAGCGTCAGTGTCTAGGACAAATGGAAGGTCAAGTCTTGGGAATGCGAGTATGGGTGCTTCACATAGGGCTATTTTAAGGTATCGAAGGATTTCTGACGGCCAATGTACCACACAAATTTACGTCCCTTTTCCTCAAGTTTGAAGAGAGGAGCTGCAAGTGTTGCAAAGTCCGGTGTGAACTTTCTGTAGTAACCGATCTCTGCCAGGAGAACACGTACCTCAGACACTCGGTATACTTCGTGCTACAATGCGGCATTTTTCCGGCTTCAATTTTAATCCGGCCTCCTCAATGGGGACGAGAGCACGATCAAATGTCTTGAGTGTCACAGTGCTTGAGGTTGTCACAGATGTAGAACAGCTGTTTGGCTTTTATCCCGTCGAGAACTCGTGTCTAGTTCCACAGTTACAAGGATGTATAGCTGTGAGCCCTCACCACCCACAACCTTGGACCTGACCCTCCCCAGGATGTCTCATAACCCAATACAGTTAAACCCTTCATTGCTCAAAATACAGATTGGGCTACCACAGTCCACAACTGCACTCACAGGGACCCCTTGGATCTTGCAGTCAAATAGCAGCACGTTGTGTTGGTGGAGGTAATGAGTATCACCGGTACATGGTCTTTAAGCGGGGAGCGACTCACGGTCACGATCTGTCCCCCGCCCTGCGAAGTTTCCCTGGGGACAATTTCTCTGAAAATGATACGTACAACCCACACTACCACCACCCTCCACCCTGGCCATTGGTTTGTCTGAACTGGGGAGGCCTATAGTTTCCCTGAACACCACCTTAAGGAATAGAAATAGCCACTGCCTCGGCTGCGGCCTTTTCTGTAGCTGATGCAATTAAGTCGAAAGCTCTGGAACCAAGTCTGGCAGAGGTACATTTTGCACATGGCAAGCTTTTTATCTCATTCTAATTGCTCTGAGTTTTAATGCTTCAAGCTCGAGGGCTTTTGACAAGGCTTTATCTATGCGAATTATGTCCGGTTTGCAAGTATTGCCCCATGTGCAACGGTGAAATGATCTATACAAGCCTGCTCCTAGGCTCAAGGTTGGGTAAGCCTCCCCACACAGGAGTTTGATATCAATGCTTAAATCTAACTAGACGCATGACTGCGTGAACTCGGGCTTTTTTCCAACATCTTGCTATGTAAAAGTCGAACGCTACAGAAGTCGTCTTTAAGTAACGTGAAAATCTCAAAGTTATTTGACACCAGATTTGTTGGCCCTGTATCAGGTGAAACTCATTGCAACACATTGTTGTCCAGAATTCTGTCCAAATATTAGCTCATTACCTTGGCTATAAGGGGCTGATATTGTTTTACTTGGGTCAATATACATTGGAGTAGGACCAGGGTTCTTCTCTATGTCTGTACTCAGTTTAAATTGACAAAAATTTGATATATGGGTCTCATTTTTGTACCGGCACATCAAACTATTACAGGTAAACAATGATAAATACCGATTTGCTCGAAATTTAAGCTTCATCAACCCTTGATAAACCCTGCTAGAGCAATTAAACAAAAGCTTCTTTCCATGTTGTGTAATTTTATTTAAGCTCGTAATCTTTGTACTACATTCATGTTTTATAAGTTTTCTAACCTTCACATAACAGTAAAGCTTGGAAGACTTCGGTATACTTGCACAGATACGTTTGAAGACAAACTCCTTCAGCTTTCTGCTTTTGTTACTCAGACACTTCAAAATTCGAACTGGCAATCTGCTGGGTTCTCGATCACGTTTACCCACACGACGATTTCTACGTAGGCTAACAGGAGATAGCTGATTTGATATAGCATGATTTTCGATAGATAGTTCATTTGATAAAGCAGTCATAGCATGGTTCACGATAAAAGGTTCAATCGTAAAGGTTCGCTCGTAAATTGATCTCTCGTAAATCTCGCGGATCGACCCCTTCCGAAAATGCTCAACATCTTTTAATGTGGGTCTACCTTGAGAAATGTGTTTTGAACGTTTTAGATTCCATAATATTCGCAGTCACCAACGAGACCTTAACACCATCCACCATTACTCGCCCATGTGCTTCAGTAGCGCACACTACGCATGCGCACT